TCTTTCCCTTTCCTTTTCCTCCTTCCATCCCAGGCAGAACAGGAACTGGGAGGGGTGGAGCACAGCTAGGGGAAGAGGCTGCAGCGACCTCCCTTCCCAGATTGGCTCCAAATTGGAGGTCAATCCCCCAAACTCCCGACCCAACAATTAACATCTGTTGGGTCAGGACAATAAGTCTGACTCGTGGCACTTTCTGTAAAGTGTCATGAGTTAGACCTGGGAGCTACATTCCAGTCTCTGTGCCTTTGGTTGGCAGTTGGGAGGAACTTTTCCCTATGAGTCTGGTTAAGCATTGGAACAGGCTACCTAGAGAAGTTGTGGACCCTCCATCCCTGGAAATTTTCAAGATCAAGGTTGACTTGGTTAGAATGGTTTAGTCAGGGATGATCCTATCTTGAGCAGGGGGCTGAACTAGATGACCTCGTAAGGTTCTTTCCAGCCCTATTTTCTGTGTTCCTATAAATATAAATTTGTTCATACATTTAAAAATCTCAAGGAATGGAGTGGAGAAATTTTAGTCTCAATACACAGTCTAAAAGTATCATTTCAATGGATTATTTTATGAAACTACTTTCATAATTCATCAAGTCTAAGCAAAAAATAGATCAATACAAATAGTCCTTTGTGAATATTGCCTAATAGTAAAACAATAGGGTTTTTTTTTATTAAACAACCAATATTGTTAGACATTTATTGCATACACAGAACACTTATGATTGACTCTTTTTATAGCCAAAAATCCTCTCTCAGATTTGGAAAACAAGAGCTGAATTTTGGGCACTTTTTAGACCAAGTGGTTAAATAAAAGCATACTTAAAGATCCCAGTCAAAACTGTTTATAAGTAGCGATAATAATGAAAAAAATCATAAAATCCATTTCTTGTGAAAAAGAACAAAGATAGTTTTAACATAGCCCAGGATGTGGTGGAGGAAAGTTGCCTTGTACATTTTGTTAAAATTCCACCATCCAATTGAAGGAAATTTAGGCTTGTTTTCCCTGATTGTGATGGAGTTCATTCAGTCCACTCTAGATGCCTGCAGGCTGAGACCAGGGGCTTTGCTGGGTTCTTCCTGGGGAGGGGGCTGGGTTGCACTGCGCTTGGGGCGGGTGGGCTATGGGGGAGGCTGCAGCCACCCCAAATTTTGCTGTAGCTCCCCCCATAGCCCCCCCTCTGAGCACCACCTCTGCCCACCCTGAGTGCAGCCCAGCCCACCCCCCACCACCAGGAAGAGCCCGGTGTGGCCCGCAGCTGCAGCCCGCCCTGTGTGGACACCCCCTGCCGCCCCCCGTGCCCTCCCGGGGTGTGCACAGTGGTGGGAGCCACACCCAGCCCACCCTTCCCTGCACCACCCAGGTGAGCCATCTGTCCTGTGCCCACACTGCCTCAGCAGCGCCTAGTCCAGCCCCACTCCCTCTTTCACCATGGGGGGCATTGATCTTTACTATGTCCCCATGCCCCTTCCCTCCCCGCTCTCCTTCCACTGCAACAGACTTACCAGCTGTATGCAGCTGTGTTGGAAATCAGATGAGTATTGGCTGATATGCCTCCTTAAATATCAGCTATTGGAATCGGCCCCCAAAATCTCTATTGGTGCACCCCTATATTTTTACCTTTTATTTCCTGTAATACATATTGGAGACAATTGGAACATCAGAAAATGCTAGAAGATTTGTAAGCATTTGGTGAAAGCATTTTTTTTTCAAACTAAAATTGTATTATAAGTTGTTTTTTTTCTCACAGAAGAAACTTAGTATTGGTGATATTGTTGTAAATGGGCATATACATTTAGTAAGTCCCAATATTTTTAATGCATGTCATGCTTCTACCCTAAAAAATTACCATGTTAAAATAGGATCTTCTTAATCTGTAGATTTTGTCCATGCTTGTGTTCAGAGCCTATTTAGCTGAGATTAGGGACAAAATAAAAAAAAATAAGGATTTTGTCTTTGCTTTGCTCTGTTTTAGCATTGCAGAGCCATTTAAGTTAGGATCCTTAGGCCAGAAAAGAATTTAAGCCCTTATGTTCTTAAATCCATCCACAGTCAAAATAGTATTTAAATGCATACCCAAGGAACCTTGTCTACTTAATTTTAAGCATTTACTTAAAATGAAAGTATGTCTGAAAAGTAATTATTTTGTGAATCAGGGCCAGATAACAACGTGGTTGATATTCCTTTTGTGCGACATCAGCCCAGTCTCTGAGCTGTTACTATTTGTCATAGAGCTGCATCAATGTACTAGAGGGACTAATTTAACATGCAGGACCTCAGAGTTCTGAATTTGCACGGTTGACAATTAAAGGTATGATTTTACTTATAAAATCAGCACATTTTATGTGGAATTCACTGGTCTTGTTCAGTATGATAAATATTGTCCCCTTGGTGTCTTTTTTTTTCCCTACCACACAAGCACTTTTCAGAGTAAAACTGATTTGTAAAAATGCAGAGGAACTCATTTTGCTAAATTTACCAAGAAATTTTGCAATCCTAATCCAGTACCGCAATTCACAGTTTCAGTTTTATTGACTGTAGATGATGATAAAGAGAAACTTTGGATTCTTCTTCTTTTTTTTTTTTTAGCTCTTTTTTTTTTACTTGTAAAATCAATAAATATTCCTTGTGTTGTTTGCAGGCATATGCACTGAAGAGAACATAATACAGTGATGGCTTGTCTTACAATGACAGAGATGGAAGGAACCACAACCTCCACTGTCCACCAAAATGGCGATGTCCTTGGGAATGCTAATGCACCAAAGCAGATGGAGCCAATGCTTCAGGTTTACCTTTATCATTCCCCAGGGAAGACAGAAGGAGACTATCTACCCTTTCCAGTTGGAGACTATATGGCAGAAGAGATATGCATTGCTGCTTGTAGGGCTTGTGGTAAGAACATAATGACTATTTTCCTAATCAAAGAATGAAATTATTTCAGCTTCATGCAATGTAGCTTTTAATAATGTAGACAGAGGTTCTAAGTAAGATGTATTATACTATAAAATGTGTGCATGTATAGTTATATTTTTATTCACTTTTCACCTTGCTCTGCTATGGGATGCCATTATTTGCTAACTTAATATCAGCCCTACATTACCTATTCAAAACCATTAGCTGTTAAGGAGTGGATAGGATGGAACTCTTTGTCCTGCAAAGATATTCTTCACAAGTGAATTATCTTCATCACTTACATGTGATCTCTTCTCTGAAGCACAAAAGCAGGTTTTCACATCTATATACACAGCCCCCTTCTTCTGGTAGGCTCCATTTTAGGCTGAAATTAAATCACTGCAGCGCCAGTATTCAGGAAATTAAAGCACTGCAGTATCAGTATTCAGGAAAACCCAAGACATAATGGAGTCTTAGGGAATGTTGATGAAAAAGTGTTATTTGCTGAAATTTGATGGAGGTTTTTTAATGAGATTTTCATAATAAAACGTTCCCTTGTTAACCTTAAATCTTAAGATTATTTAACTGACGTAATCAGACAAAATGCCAAGCTTGTTTACTGCTGATGTTCATTTAGTAGAAATCCTGAGGAACTTGTAAGGGAATGCTCTATTCATCATCTGCTTCCAAAGATGACCTCCTTGATTGCTGTGACGTGTGGAGAGTAAATTAGTTGCGCATATTATTTTATTTTTAAGGCTAATAGGGAACATTCATATCATTTAGCCTAGCCTCTGTGTCACCGACTATGAATTTCTTACAGTATTTCATACTGAATTTAATGCTGAACTGAGCCCATTAGCTTGTGCTTGAGAGAGAGAATCCACCATTTCTTTTAGTAGGTTGTTCCAATGATGAAATTTTCTCACTGTTTAAAAAAAACAAATTTGTGCCTTTGTTTTTTTGAATGTGTCTAGCTTCACCTTTAAGCCATTGCTTCTTGTTGTACTTTTTGCTGCTAGATTAAAGAGGCTTTTTATAGATGGTATTTCACCCCCACACCCACCCTTCTCCATCTTAAGATGATATTTTTACTCTGTGATCAAGTTACCTTTCAACCTTCTCCGTGATAAACTAAATTGATCAACTGCCTTAGCTTTCTATGTCTGTTGAGGTAAAGGCATTTTTTTTCTAGCCTGATTGAAACATTCTTTTTATCTGTCCCCTGTGCTGTTTCACTGTCCTTTTAAAAATGGTATGTAACGGTCTAGTCTGTCTTGCCAGTGACACATATCAGGATCATCAAACCAACCCATCCAGCCCCATGGGACTGGATGAGCATCATTGATCCCCTATGCTGTGTGTAGCATATGTAGTACTGGGTCCAGTCCATGAACCATATGCAGCGCACCGGGCCAGGACCAACACATGGGGTTGGTCCAGTGACCAATGAGCCAGATCATATTGCTCCGCTAATGTATATGCACTTCTCCTAGCCTGTTTATTTAGTTCAGCTCCTTTTTGCCATTAGGACCTCGCATTCAGTTGCTTCTTCACTCTGACCCTAAATTCTTTGTTTAGAGTCACTGCTTTCCCCGTACTGTAGGTGTGACTAGTATTCTTTGCTTTCAAGATATATAATTTGCTTTTGGTTGCATTATGATGCATGTTGTCTGAATTGGGCCAGCTTACCAAGCATCCCAGTATATGTGCCTTGTCCTCATCTTATATATATTTCCAAATAATTGATGAAAATTAGAAGCTTCGGGTCTCCATCCATGAAGACCCCCATTACAGACACCTCAGTCCTCTTCAAGGATAACTACTAACAGCTACTTTTTAAAGTTATTTTTCAGTTATCCAGCTATTGATTCATGTAATATGTGCACTCTTATTGAGACTGTGTAGTAATAACTTTTAGTCATATTGTCTTGAATTACCGAGTCACAGTTACTTTCATCAACCAAACCTATACTCTTATCTCAGGTAATCCATGCTGTACCAATTTTTTACTGAAAAGGTCTACCATTTTTCATCTATATCAGACTATAAATAAGTCCTCTTTCCCCAACGCTGTGTACCTTATCTGGGAAAAGGAGGATGCATTCACTCAATATTTTATGGGCTTTTAATATCTATTTTTCCATTTTTGGAAATCTCTGAGCGTTGGTGGTGGTCATTACAACTTAGTTGGTGACCCTGTACATGAGAAAATTAGAGCTCATTTTCGTGGAAGTGAGATCAGTGTTCGTGGCATGCTTACACAATATGTATGGGTCACACAAAGACATTTGAAACTTATAGCAGTCTTTGAATTAGTGGAAAGAATCAGATGGTTGGAGCAGCCTTTATCCCCTTTTATAATCTATTCTGTGGCTGCAGCCAATAAATAAAAAGAATAATTAAGAGATGGATGGAGGAGATCTTTGGGAGAACCAGACTAAGATGCAGGCACCATTTCGGGGGTGTGGAAAAGTCGGGCCTAGTTAACCTACTACCTGTTGGTGATACCCATTTGTAATGTAGATATGCATGTAGAGTATTTTTTTTTCTCTCACTGGTTTCCTACTGGTGTACAGAAAATATTCTTTGTTTTAAGAGGGCTTATTCATCTCTATATCCAGTATTGGATCTTGGTGTTTAAACTCAGTCAGATCTGCTGGATAAGAATAAGTACTTTACCTAAGGACCTTGCTTAAGAATGGGAAAAAGGCCTGAAACCTGAGGAAAGACTTAGAGAGACTGGGGAAGAGGATAAAGTGCAGGTAGTCTTAGAACTGTGATGCCAAATATATTAAAAGTTGGCTGGCAGCATAGAACAGATCAATAAAATTAGCCACACTTTAGTGAACTTAGCAATTATTAATGAATATTTCCTATGATTTGTGTAATTATTAGACCTTTTTAATAGCAATTCTGGGTATGTGCATAGGGGGCTGCCTGCCTGCTAGGTCCCAGGAGTCAGCTGGGGGTGGGGGGAAGGAGGGGAGGGCAAGTGCAGCAGAGCTCGCCTGGGTGGTGCATTTCACTCCTCCATCTGGCCCTTGGTCGCCCCTGCAGTGCTCTGCCTGGGGCCAAGCCCCACCATGCCCTCCTGGGGTAAGCAGCCAGCACCATGCTCTGCCCACACCTGCTCCATCCCTGATCGCAACCTGCGTGCACAGTGCTGGTGCTGCAGCTGCCAGGTACTGCTCAGCTACCCCTGCCTCCAGTGGCTCCTCCTCTTGCCCCTGCTGTGCCGCTCACAGTACAGGGGAAGCTGTAGTCAGGCAGCTCCTGCCCCAACCCGTGGGGCTCCAGCTCCAGCTCCTGGCCACCTTGTATCCACTCTGACCTGCAGCTGCAGCTTTCTTCCTTTCCTGGAGTGTCGCAGCCAGAGGAGGGAGGAGCCTCTGGAAGTGGGGGGAGCCACGTAGTACCCAGGCAGCTACAGTAGCAGTACTGTGCGCACTGGCTGGGGCCGAGGTTGGGGCCAGGCTGGACCATTGCAGTGGGCAGGTCCAGACAGCATGGTGCAGGTTGACCTGGGCAGGAGTTGGGGTGGAAGTTTTGTTGGTTCCCTAGAGGGGGCCACGTGAGCACAAATTTTGTTATTTTAGTGCATGTAGATGTATGAGGAAATGGTGTTGCCTCAGTGTAGGGGTTCTCAAACTGTGGTGCTGCATACCCTTGCAGGTATGCAAGACATCTTTGCGGGGTAGGTGGGAGAAATTGTGTAATGGCAGATTTAATTTCCATTATAATAATTGGAATTCAAGGAGTTAAAATATAAAACTTATTTTGGTAAGGTAAATTTGGAAGAGGAAAATAAGGAAATTTTGGGAACCTCTGCCTTAGTGGAAGCCTATGTGAGAGCTCCAGGGTGGTGTGTGGGCACAGTGCAGGGGGAGCCCCCTGCCCCTGAATGCCATGGAAGGCACATTTCTGCAGGCTGGATCCAAAGGCTTTGCAGCCCATGGGCTGTAGTTTGCCAACCCCTGCTGTACAGGATTAAACTGTATTGGTATAATAAGCATTTTATACTGGCATAATGGCATCCAGATCTGTGAATTATAGTATATCATCCATATTTCCATAAAATGCATAAAGGGGTATATCAGTGCAGTTAAAATGGTATCATTTTTGTATCTAGACAAGTCTGTAGAACATGCTGGACAAAGTAATAAAAAAAAACAGTAAAGCAAAGCAAATCCTTCTAAAACTCCCCTTTTTCTTGGCCCCAGTGAGAAAAACCTATTTTCTGCGTCATGAAGGCCTGTTTCTTCATCCTTGGCCTAGGATGACCTAAGACAATTTTGAATCTGGAGTTATACTGCCAGCAAGGTGTCCCTGTGCTCAGTGTGATTATTCAAGAAAGTGAGGTGTCAGTTCACGTATAACTTTGTTTCGTGGAAGGAATTAATGTGTACTATGCCTGCCTTTAATTCTTATTAAGCACCTCAAACACAGGAGACAGAGAAGCCACCTTATTTCTTGGATTCTTCTATAACAGTGGTGCCTAACCTTTTTGCCTGGCAGGCTGGATTGGCAGTGCCCAGTCTATCTGCAGGCTGGAATTACCCAGTGTTCTTGATCCAACATGTGGGTGGGCACAGCGAGCACCCTCTGGCCATGCAGAAGGGAATGGGGGCAGGTCAGCCCCAACACAGCTCTGCAAGGGAAAGGAGCTAGAGTCGACCCTTTGAAAAGGGAAGAGGGCATGGCCAGGCTTGCATCTATGATGGGTGTGCAAGAAAACATTTCCATATACAAAGGACAGTTAATGTTTCCTTGTATTTTATACCACATTCTCTGCTTACTGGAGGATATCCTAAACTACTACCTTTTTGTTTTTCTTAGCAAAGCAGTTAACAGCAGATCTGACCGCAGCAATTACATGACTTTGAGATTTCTCCCTCTTTAACAGTATGCTGGCATTCTTTGTAATGAAACTGTGCGGGCCGGGAGCGGTCCGAGGCCCTCGGGGGTTTTCCGCGCGGCGGGCTGTGGCCAGCAGCCCG